CACCTTCAACCAATTAACTTTGCACACATACACTTGGTTTTTACAATTAGTTTTGCAAATTTCTCCAATATCATCAAGATTCTAATTTCTCCATCGTTAAGTAACTCTCAATGCAATTAATTAAAGTAAAAAGTTCTCACCACACCCATATAATATCAAATGTGTACCGTTTCAAAAAAAAAAAAAATCAAATGTGTACAAACATATCGATTCATGCATCCCAATTGAATACAAAAAAATCAATAACAATTTGGTTACGGCATGTTATAATATTTATTCTTAATAAATGTTGTCAATAAAATATTTTTGCATTTTATTATTGAAAAAGACAAGTTCAAATTCTTTTGTACTTAATATTTAGCAAAAAAATAAAAAACCTTTATCTTAAAAGATTTGTTTAACCTGTACCCTCCTTTCATAAGTTAGATAAATCTTATCTTAAAAATGGCCACTCTTGACTCAATCAAAGATGATATTAGGGTCACTGCCAAGTGATGCTAACAACTGTTAACGTCTCTTGGCATAATTAGGGGTTGCGTTTCAAACTAGTATACGTTGACACCGCAAATTGCAATAGGATTTTTCTAAGGAAAATGATGGGTGCACACCCGGATACCACATTTGAGTGTGCATTCCCTATATAAACAAAAAAAAATGTCCATCATCCGGTTCAACTTTTTTTTTTTATGTGGGGGTGCACACCTGGGTGTGAGATTCGAGTGTGCACTAATCATGGTCTTTTTTCTAATTTTATTTTTCATTAATTGTTATGAAATAAAAACTATTTATATTAAATTATAAAATACTCTAACAGTTGAAAGGAAGGGACAACAACAAATAAATATTTTTTTAATTGGAAGTTAACCATTGAGAACCTCTCCAAGTACAATTTTTTCAACAAAAAAAATGATCTTTTTTTTTCTTTGTTGCCTTTGGTTTTTTTTCGCCAAGTGTTTCAATTGTTTTTTAAGATCTTTACTGTACTACCAACAAAATCTTGATTGATTAGTATTCATTAACTAAAAATCTTTAATTTATCGTTAAGGTTTCTTCTATGTCAAAAAACTAATCTTCCAATGTATATTTAAAAAAAAAATCCTCATTGTTCTTCATTAAAGAAATTGATCCAAAATTACATGTATCCCACGATCATCTTCCATCTTATCTTTGATAATGTGTATTTGAGATATAATAGATATCGTGTTGGTGTGGAAAAGTCTAAGAGATCCAACATTCTAAAGTCTAAATCTTCTTACTTCAATTCAAATAGTTTCTGAAAATAAAAAGAATGTTTGTGAATTTTTAAAATCAATATGACTCAAGTGATTTTTTTTTTTAGCCTTCTCTCCTGGATTCATTTTACTGAGAAAAGTGGCACACCAACAAAAGTCTGTATCTGTGATGAAGGATGCTGGCGTTCCCTCACTAAATTTGCATATATATATATATATATATATAACAAATCTCTACTTTATCAGCTAATGTTCCAACAAACCCTAAAGATCCAAATACCCTACTCAGCATACTGTGTTCAATCACCTTAAAAAATGGGAAAATGAAAGAATTCTTAAGAATGATTGATACAGGAGCATCTAAATCTCACATCTTTGAAACAGAAATCCCGAGTTCTTGATATATATATATATATATATTCAATCTAAAGCTAGATATGTTAGTTTAAATAAAAGAATAAAACATATTATACTTATGCTGGAAACGAACAACATCAAGGAGAAAGATTATATATATACAAAAACTGTACCTCCGTTTTATATAGTCGCTGTATTTGAATGATGGCTACTGGCTACCGTCTAAATACCATCCAGCGAAGATCATCCCTCCCCATAATACCTGTTTCATTACTTATAATCATTATATAAACATGTAGAAATGATTATGAAAATCCAAACCAAGTGGTGTAATGGAAAGCCAATAATATATAATATTAACAATCAAGGTTTAAGTATGTCAATGTGGTTTGTCAACCGGATCCAATTACCACACCTGCACATTG